TGTAATGGTACAAGATCCCAATGATGAATGTAACTGTATTGTATACCTAAAATGTACCAATAAAGTTAATGGGGAAAAAAATAAAATAAAACATATTATGAATATAACAGGTAAAACTGCATTTTTTTCTTTTGTACCATGTTTGTAAGTTTCAACTAAAAACTTTAAATATATGAGGAAAACCCGGTATTAATTATTTCCATTTTCCTTCCCTCCTTCCTTACACCTCTCACTTCTTCCCTTTTCTTCCCTGTCTTCCTCCTTTCCTTCCTCCCTTTCTTTCACAGGTTACTGCAGCAATAGAAGTCACCATAATCGATGATGCTGAATATGAGCTCATGGAGATGTTCAGCATCTCCTTGACCAGTGTATCTGGAGGTGGCACACTTGGTGACGATGTTGTGTTAACTGTTGTTATTCCACAAAACGATTCTCCATTTGGAGTATTTGGATTTGAAGAACAAACTGTAAGTTAAATATATCAGTGGAGCAGTCTACCCCACGCCAGTTTGTAATGTAGTTTTCAGTAGAAAAGTATCTTTTTGTTTCGAAATTCCTCATTACCAACTTCACTTGAGTCCCTCTCTTTACGTGTCTCATGAATTGGCTGTGATTTAGAGGCCAGTCCTCCAATCTGCAGGCAGCAGGAGGGCTCTTGCTCAACACGGGCAGTCACAGAGGGAAACGGACCCTGTCTGCTGGGTACAGTAGTCAAAGATGTACTGTCCCCATGCCTTCCTTTTCTGCCTGCCCTGCTCCCAGGCCCCCTCCTGTTCTGAGTGCAGGACTCTGTCCCAGTGGGTCCTGGTCTTACCTCCCAGTGTGGCATTAGCTGGTGAAGGATTTGTGTTACCCACTCTCCTGACTTATTTTGAACAAAACCCCACAGTCGCTGCAGCTCGTGTTTCCTCCCTCTTACTTCTCATTGGCTGTTTTCTTCAAAGACTCAAAGGAGGGAACCCAGTTATTACTGCTTTAACCATAAAGGGAGGAGAAGGAGTTTAACCAATCATGAGAATTTAATATTTGTACAGCAGGTTTGGTGACTAGTACTTAATTATCATCACATCTCAAATATAAATCACTATAAACTCTGTCATAATTATTGTTACATGATGACCATGTCATAATTATTGTGATTTTACCCATTAAAGACAGTTCCCAGGGGAAACATTCATAAAAATCCTTAAATAATTCCTTATACTCAGCAACTTCTCTGGCCCTATACATCAGTGTCCCTTTACATAATTATTTATAGATAATCAGTAACCATCAGAAATCATTTTTAAGGATAAACCAATTGCTCTAATGTTCTTTGTCTTTTGTAATGGACCCAAGGCTCAGTCTGTGACTTGCCTGTCAGAGCAGAGCTTCCCAGGGGCCTAGGATTTAAATAAAATAGCCTAATAACTGCCTGGTGGTAAGATCATGGAGAAAAGTTGCTGTGGGTGTCTCCCATGTAGCATAGCAAATCTTGGACTTGTAAGAAAGCATAAAGAGGAGAAGGAACATTTCCAGAGTAGCAGTATCTCAAGGGCAGTATTGGTGATAGTTTATTGTATCTCCAACCATGCCATATTTATTTGCACATATGCAATATTTATGTGCATATTTTAATGCACATAAACATGTAAATCAATTTTATAAAATCTATATGAACTTCTAGGCTTAGATTACAACATATGATTTAATGTTCACATCTTCAGTTAGTGAACTCTTATAGTACTGTTTTTGATTTTAAGCGTATCAAACTTTTGGACTCAACAATTGGATAATGTGTTTATAAGCTTCTCTTCCTGTATAGAAATGAAGAACCATGTTAGTATTCATAAATTATTTTTGTTTAATCATTTTGTCTCATCTTCTATTGTAAACTTTAGTGCTGTAAATTTAGGCATGCTTAGAAATACTGCCTAATTGTGATAGTGTCCAAGTCCTAATTTGTTTAGGTTACTTACTCTGTGAGTTTTATTCCCCATAAATATTATGAGGAATAAATGAGCTGATGTACATGAAGCACTCAAACCCGGGCTTTGTGCTCAGCAAGTGTCAATTGCTGTTTTCACCCTTGGTAGAATTGGTTGGTTTCATTGTTGCTCCGCCCTTGTGGTTGTTCTCATCGCCTGTATTTCTTGATAACCTGAGTTGATCTTTTGATATGTGCATAAGAAGTACAGTGCTGAACACACAGAGATCATTCTGTTTGCATTGGTTGGTGACACAGATAGGTTGAAACCTGAAGAGCACTGGGAAAAGGTTGTTAGTATAAACCTGTCCACATTAATAAGTGGCTCTCGAGGACAGTGTAGCATGTATGTGAGAACTGGCACGCGACAGAAGCTCCAACAGTGTCAAATAGCTCCCAATCTCCACTCTCGGTACCAGTGCAAAAATCTCATGAGAAAAAGAAGACAAGATTGCATTACATGCATATTAAGTTTCTGTCTTGGAAGTGGAAAACATTGTGTTGTATTTTGAGTTTACATAACGGGTGGATATTACAGGTTCACAAGGTCAGCATATGTAATTCGTTTGAACCAGCTCTCTTAATAAGGAATTGTGTAAAAAAAATAGCACTGGTAAATTAACATCAAAACTTCTCTTTTATATCAAATTAATAAAACTCCTTTCAACATTTGACTCACTAAAGTTGGAAAACTTCAGGTACTTCCGGGGACAGTTTAGGTCTGTGGGGAGCCTGATCACCATCACCAGGTACCCCCCAAATCTTGGTTCTTCTTTATGCAGAAGTCTCACCCTAGTGCTGCTAGTTGGCAGGCAGGTATGGACACCTCTTCTCCACCTGGCTTCTAACATCCTTTAGGTCCCAAGCATCCTCTTCAGCCACCTGGCAGATGGGCAAAGGAGAACGTGGAGGATTGTGTGCACATTTACAGCCAGGTGTCAGTGGCCTATGCCTCCCCTGCATACAGTCTCTTTCCAAGATTCAGCCACATGCTGTATGGAACTGCAAGAGAGGATGGGAAGTGGCCAGTAATTGATGTCTAGGGAAGAACGGAAATGGAGTGTGCTGGAACACTCTTTCTGCCATATGATTGTAACATACCACGAAGAGAATTCTAAATTCGAAACTGCACTGATTGCACGCAGAAGTAAGATTTTGTTTCTCCTGTTATCATCATTACTCTTGCCTCACTGGATTTTCTTTCTTCAGGTAATGGTTGATGAGTCCCTTGTGTCTGATGACCCTGATTCCTCTGTGATGTTGATGGTGGTCCGGTCCCCTGGAGGAAAAGGACCTGTCCAGCTTCAGTGGGTGGTGGAGGATAAAGCTAAGGATGATCTCAGCCCTCTGAAAGGGATACTTCACTTTGATGAGGTACAGTCAGCACTGGGGCTCCTGTCATTTTCCTCTAATTTGCCCTTGATTTTCTTTAGCACAGTGTTGCTGAGGAGTTCATGTAACAGTATTCAATATATCTTTGTCCCTCAAATTGTTTACTACACTCTGGACAAAACAGGAGTTGAGCTCTCTTTGTGGTCTGTTGACCTTTCTTGCAAGCACTAATCACCAAACAGCCCAGAAACAAATAGTCCTTTTTTTGTTTTGTCACCCACCAGTCTTGAGACATCGATCACTCTGATGGCATTGAGTCTCGAGCCAGATATCACAGATGTATCACCCACTTATTTCTCAGATTCTAATAAATGATGGCTCAAGATTGCATGCCCTAGCCATAATCTGAAAATTTATTACCCGGTATGAAAAAAATTGAAATTTAGAAATTAGTCTAAAAAATTTTATAAAGATTTACATGAGTGATAATTTTCTATTTACCTCATTCGAACAGTTAGAGCTACTTCCCAGGTTATTAGGTTTTTCTGTTTTGAGCACAGAATCTATACCAAAATAGCAAGTATTCTGATCTTTCCCCCAAACGATTAAGGCTATCCTTTTTCAGAGAATTACATCAAGAGGGGCGGATTTATCTCTTAATGGGACCCTCTGTTCAGTTGCTTGGTCACCACCCTCGTACATTTCATGTACAACTGCACAGCAGCTGTATTGTTTGTGCAAATCCAGGTCTAAAGTATCCAAGTGTCCATGGGCTCTTCTTTGCTTTGGATGATGTCTCAGTCTTTTGCAGTCCTGCTCATGGCTACAGGTGGATCTCTGACCCCAAAAATCATTCTCCTAGCAAGCTGGTGCTCAAATCTAGCAGTTGAGATACTAGTCTACAAGAGCTGTTATACTTAGGACATGTCCCTTATTGTACCAAGATTAACTGTACAGTGGCTTCTTGGACTACTTCAAAATGAAACAGTGCTTGTGGGTTCATGATTCCCCCACTTACAGGGAAATTCTCACCATGGCTCTGTTCAGTCCTCTCTTAGCAGCAGGGTGAAGTTATTCGGTCTTATTTCTACCTGACAAATGGGCCAGGGTGAGAAATCTGTGTCTTCCTGGTAGACTATGAGATGGGGTGTCAGGAGGCTGTGTGGATGCTTCTCCTTGGACCAGCACCTACATAAGTGCACGAAGGAGCACTGGCTAGGACGAAGGCAAGTGCAGTGCAGTCCTCCGCTTGTGCTGCTGCTGCACACTGTAGCTCATTCTGAAGACACCCCGGCTCTTCAGAGTTGACCTGAGATGTAGGAAGGTTGAGTTTTATAATGTTGTCTTGAGCAGTTATTGGATGTGGACCATGTGAGAAAGAAGATCTAGCCCTGCGGGAGGAGGAGGCTTTCTAGACATGAGGTGGTTTCTAAGGAGCCTGACCTATGGCAGCTTGTCCTGGAAACATGCCAGCTGATGGATGAGTCCTTGCCAGAAGAGGGGGGGTGGCCCTCAGAGCATTGCCACAGAGACTAGGGCAGGGCCAGGCTCAAGGGACACTTGCTTGCAGAGTTGCTCCCACTCTCTCCTCACCTTTTTTCTCTACCCTTTTTGATTCTTGGCCCTCCACCCTTCCTGCTTCTCTCCCACCCGTCCACCAAGGATGGTCCCAGGGTAATCACTATCACTCCTTCCCCCTCTTGTCTTCTCCATAGCTCAGGAATTCCTTAGAAATGTTGTTTTCAGTGTAGGATGGAGGAGTAAAATGGTCCTTGGAGAAAGGAAATATACAGAGAAACTGCATTCGTGCTCACAGCTGTGACCGTGACACCAATCATTTTTATCTCTACCTTTTACTCTGCAGTTTGTTTTGTTTTGTTTTCTTTCTTTTTTTTTTACTCTGCATTTTGATAAAACAACTTCAGTTTGTCCACCACACCACTGATTAAATTTTCTGCAATGTGGCTTCTGCCATTTATTGTGTCTTGTAAACACTGGGTTTTGTGATTGCATCTCTCTTTGATATTGTTAGCCTTAACTAGTATTATTTTCATCTTTTCTCAAATGATCTCTCTTCATAATTAATTACTCCTATTTTACAATATATGCATTCTTAAAATTTTATGACGGTGTCTAGAAAACTGTGTACTCCCTGCCTGAGCCCTTGTTAGATGTACTCAGGGAAGACTATTTTCCTGGGGTACAGGCCATGGTTTCCAGCTGTTTACTCTGTGCACATTGAGATTTGAGGATCGGAATTGCTGTGAAGAGGGAGGTGAGATGGGAGTGGGAACAGCACCTGGAGTAAGTGGAGCCACTTCCCGTGGTCAGCACAGGCCCTGAGCCTGGCATTCAGAGAAGTCAGGAAATATTCTGACCCACTCTGCGTTCTCCTTATGGCATAGGTTCGTGGTGTGCAATGTATACGTGTCCTCTTGTCTGCCTCAAGCTGTTACCTCCACACAGGAACATACCATCTTGATTTCAGAAACACTTTTCAGCTTGAGTTTCTTTTTCTTTTGTTGACACTTTGGGTCCCATATGGTGTCTACATGTGCACTTGATGAAGGCACCTCTCCCCCTACCAGGCTGCTGTCAGGGTAACCCAGAAATCTTTTCTCCATCTTTATGGTTTAATCGGTTACAGCAATATATGTGACATTGGTATAAGCCTCCAACAACACAGATGAATGAAAAAAAGTAAGGAAAATTTCCTTGAATCCTCTTGGATCTTGCATTGCTACATCCCACAAGTAATCACTAATGACAGTTTCTTATGTATCCTTCCAAAAATTTTCTATGCATATTCAAACATATGTATCTTATTCTTACATAAATGGAATTTTAGTCTGAAATCTGTTCTGTAACTTGCTCTTTTTACTTCAGAATTTATCATAAACATTTATTTTACATACTAACCAAAATCTACTGCATTAACAATTGGTTACATATTTTTCATTGCACTGATTCTTCCCTTTAACACCGTTATTCCTAAGCACTGTGTTCCATCATGGTTTTTATGATTCTGGCATTTCTTAGCTGTCTCTCTGCAATTCACATTTCTTACACAGTGTTTTGGTCTCTCTAGGTGCCCCTTTCTGGAGGGTTTATCTGCCATCACAGACTTCTTCTGTCATCTCAAGTTGTGTCATCTACATCTGCTTTACTCTCTTTCAGGGCTAGGTTCTCTTGTGCTTCTGGAAGTTGCCACTGAAAAACCATAAGAGTTGTAGGCTCAGAATCTAGCTAGACCTTAATCCAAATCTTCACTCGACCACTTATTGCCATTTGACCTTAGGAAAATTCACTAATTTCTCTCACGTTAGGTTTTCTACACACAAAGTGGGGATATTAATGCTTAACCTAAGCAAAGGCTGTAAAGATTGTATGAAATTATGTTTGTGAAGAGGCTAACCAACTTCTTGCTCTTAGATAGTGGTTTATAAAGTGACTTTAAAATAGTTCTGAAATAATAAAAAAGCCCAATGAAATAGCACAGTGCCACCTCAACTTCATATAGTGAAACTCAGCTCCTTTTCTACATTGTGTGAATAAAAGTTGGCAGCTTTACATTTCAGAAAGCTAGGAAACAACTTGTGTTTCCATTTTCCTGAGAAATCCTAGAGTGCCATTCTTCTGAACAACTATTCTGCAGTGTAGCAATAATTGTTCTGAATTTTAAGAGAAAAAAAGATTCTGTGATCAAATCAGTCTGAGAACATCTTGATTGAACTAGGAAGGCTTTTTGTGCAGAATATCTATAAACCTTATTTAAGGGCAGCTCGAATCTCTACTAGAAATTCTCTGAAATCATTTCCCTGTGAAGCTTCCCATCCCCTTTTTATGCCAGAGGGTTTCTTGCTGTCTTTTGTAACCAGAAATTTCTCCCTGGCCTGTTACCACTCTTCACCCTAACTCCTGGGTGCCTGTTTCTTAGAGAAGTGGAGAGCCCAGCACATGAAAAGCTGGCTTCCACAGATAGTAGTAAATGGAGGGCACTAGGAATGTATGAAGTATAGTTGAGTTTTGTGATTAAGGTCGAGTCAATTCTTATGGTTCCTGAGGCCGTGCTTGTGAGTTTACCTATACACTGAAATCCATTCATCTCCCCAGCCTCCAGTCAATACAACTGATTCTTTCATAATCATCCATGGATGTAGAGAGAGAGGTGAAAATTTCATTCTCCAAATTTGCTCATTCTCAGCTGAGGGAAACAGGCAGCACCTTTTCTTCTAGCCACTTTTTTTTTTTTTTTTGGTACCGGGGATCGAACTCAGGACCTTGCGCTTTTGAGGCAGGCAGTGGAACCACTGAGCTAAATCCCCGGCCCTACACCTTTTCTTGTTTCGACTCTGACAGTAAACAAGTGTCATTTTCAGAATGCAGTGTCGTGTGTGTGTGCGTGTGTGTGTGTGTGTGTGCTTTTTGTTGGTGATTTCACTGTTTAAAACGGCCCCCAAGTATAGAGCTGAAATCTTGAGCTCTGAAGCAGAGGGGGCTGTGATGTGTTATATGGAGATGTTATTATATGTTAGATAATCTTCATTCAGTATAAGTCACGGTTCTTAATTAACATGAAAAGTGTGTTAAAATGACCCCTACGTTTTGTCAGTATGCCCATGTCTGTGAATGACGACAGAGTGCCCAGGTTACAGGTAAATTTTAGTGAGCATGAAGATTCAGAAATACAGAATTCAAGAATAATCAGAGACAACTATATGTGGAAGCAATAGCACTTCAGGTAAATAGCTATACATACAAGAATGTTCATGACAGTATTACTTACAGTATTAGATGACCAGTGTTCGATGTGCATTGCAAGTAGTATAAATGCACAAAGGGGAATCCCTACAGCTATCAAAGGGATAAGTTGTATCTACCTGCATAAACATGGGCAGCTCTCCAGTAGTAAGTGTTGAAGGAAAAATTAAGAAGCAGACACAAGAGTGAATGACATTAAGAGTGAATGACAGGATGGGAGAGTTTTGACAAATGGGATTGAAACAGACAAAGGCAGATGTGGTGGTGCACGTCTGTAATCCCAGCTCTTCTGGAGACTGAGGCAGGAGGATTATGTGGGTCCTGGAGATAAAGACTAGCCAGGGAAAATTAGTGAGACCTCATCTCAGAAATAAAACCAAGCAAACATACAAAAAGAAATGGCCAGATAAGGGCGACAAAAAGAATAAATAAAAATAAAAGGTCCTGTGTTGCCCGGCACAGACAGCGCTGCAGGCAGGAGTGGGATCCACAAGAACCACGCTACTGAGATCCAAGGGAGAGAAAACACGCACGAGACCAACAGTCAGTCACATTTTGAGCCTGGAGTGCCCGTGTGCACCTGTAGTCCTAGCTACTCGGGAGCCTGGAGCAGGAGGATTATGAGTCCATGAATTCGAAACCAGCCTGGGCAACATAGTGAGACCCTGTCTCTAAACAAATAAATAAAATTCTTAGGATTTTGCAGTAATGGGGGAAAAGTAAAAACTAACAGTAGTGGATCGGCAAAAAGCAAGTGGGATGTACATGATAATGAAGAAAAACAATATCTTAAAGGTGAAGATAAAAGAAGATGACATGTATATACAAAGTAGCAGGCTCCTGGATGGAAGCACTAAGTTTTCTTAGGAGTTGAGCCCTGGACTGCTGCCTCCAATTCTGTGTTAGTAAGGAAGGTGCTGCTGCTAACTGAACGCTGACAAAACCCGCCTCGAGGTGGATGTCCAGTCTGGTGGTGACAGCAGGTGCAGTCTTGGGGCTGTCACTTGCCCAGGCTGCTGGGACCAGGCTCAGCTGAGCTTTGTTTTCCCCCTTTGAAAAGAGCCAGGGGTCTCTGTTTGTGACTTTTTATTGGTTTACCTTTATGACATGACCACTTAGCTCTCTAGGGTTCGACCTGCAGTGGTTGAAAATTTTGGAGATGTGTTCATCTTTTCTCCATTTTTCCCTTAACAGCCTGAGTGGAATTGGGAATATTGAGACTAATCGGACCTATTTTTTTGCATAGTAATTCTTCTTTGAAGTAACCCCAAATTCTAGGTGACCAAAAGGGCTCACTTAAGAGATGTTTGTGGACACAAACACTGCTCCACAGTCAGGATCTGACTTTGTCCCCGTGGGGATTGCTTGTCCCTCTCGGTGCTGCAGACGGAGTCCCAGAAGAGCATCATCCTGAGAGCGCTGCAGGGCACTGCACGGGACTGGGACCGGTGCTTCACCATCCAGCTGACAGCGGCTGACGAGGTAGAGATAGCTCCAGGAAAAGGTAAGCGTTCTGCAAACGAAAAACTTGATCCTCAGAAAAATGCAAGCAAATAATCAGGAGTTACAGTGTTAGTTTTTATAATTCCTAAAACATAAGGACATCATGTTCTAGCCCTACTATGGATAAAAGATTTTTAAAATCAAATTTATAATACCTGACATTGGTAGCATCATAGTCAAACACTTCATGCCACTTGGCGCTGATATTTTTTAAATAAAGATGTTCCTTGTACTGATGTTCGTATAATAAAACATGGAAACTTCCAAAATCGTCCAACAGCAGGAGATTGGGTAAAATGTGGCAGAAAACTGTACAGCCATTCAAAATGGTGTAACAGAAAAACCCAATAATTACATTAAATGTAAAGTACACTTAATTTCATGAGTGATTGTTGTGTTAATAAAGTAGACTTCACAACAGTATAGTCAGTGTGATCCCATTTCTTATCAGGTCCATGTCTTACATGAGTTTGGAATTATTTATTTGAATTGTCAATAGTGTTTTTTGTTTACCTATTTTTGTAAGCTATTTACACTGATCACATATTACTTTTATAATAAAATATTTTAAAATGTAATACACTGTTATGTTTGATAAGATAGTCTAACTATACCTGTGGAAATTAATTGCTCAGATATTTTTATATTTCAGAAACAGACATCATAGTTCCCATTGCCTATGGTCTGTAGGATGATTTGTTTTTTGGATCAATAGAGAAAGGATAAATGGCTCTGAAATGGTTTTTCAGTGCTAAAAACAGTACTAACAATAAAAAATGGCCTAGTAACTGTTTATAAATGCCTGGTAGTGTTACATGTCTTTTTTCTTTGCCATCACAATTCCATCCTGCGCAGTGATCTATGACTAAAATTAAATTGTGTGGACAGGAAAATTATCAGAATGGTAAAGTATCCCCTTATGTACGGAAGGTAATTTTTCTTCCTACATGTTCATCTGAAGTCCTTTCCAGCAAACCTATTGGCTTAATCAGCTTTCTGTCACTGTCACAGAATCCCCAAGATAATCTATTTATAAGTAGGAGAGGCTTACTTTGGCTCATGGTTGCAGAGGTTTCAGTCCCTGGTAGATAGGTCATGGCTCTTGGGACTGTGACAAGGCAGCACATCAAGGCAGGGGTGTGGAGCTCAGGAAGCTGCTTACTTCCTGGTGGCTGGGAAGTAGGGAGCAAGAGAGGGGCAGGGTCCCAGTGCCTCCTTCGAGGCACAGCACACCCCAGTGGCCTTAGTGCTTCCACTGCCACCTTCCAGAGTTGTCATGGGCTGGTGACCAGAGCTCACACATGCACCTCTGAGGGACGGTGGAGCTCTAACCTGCAGCAGCTGCCAAGGAAGCGTCATATTCTTCTGTCATTCTTAAGTTCGCACAGTGATGTGCATCATGTTAAAATGATAATTGATGTCACGGAGGCTAATTAGACATAAGAATAAAATATCAGAGGTTAAAGTAAAACCTGTGTCAAAATAAAAATTCTTATTATATATCTGTGTAACTGACATATTTGCATATGGCAAACTCCTCTTGATTTCATTAATCCATTGCCCAAGAACATGAGACTATAATAACCCAGCTCTGTTTTTCATGATACCCCCTTGTATGCTTCTGGAAAAATTTTCTTCCAGTTACTGCTGTATTAGAATATGGATACTAAAATTCTTCGATATAGCTTTTTTTTTTGGTACTGGGGATCAAACTCAGGTCCTTGCACTTGTGGGGCAGGCAGTGGAACCACTGAGCTAAATCCCCGGCCCGATGTAGCTTTTATTTCTATTTTAGTAGAAATATTTGACACAGTTTTAGAAATGCTTTTGGACAAATGGTAGTAAAATTAAAACTAAAACAGTGCCCCACGAATTCTAGTATTTGCCACATAGCCAGCTGACTTAGCCACACAGCTGACTGCAGTGAGATATAAAATGCTTGCTGTAGGAGGGAATTCCTGTGAATGATAGTGGAGCTCTTGCTTACCCTGGGAATGAGAGCAGATTTATTGCCCACTGTTTCCTGCCCTTTCCATTAAAGTTGGATCTTAGGCAAATTTTCAGTGTCTTCAAGGTGTCTCACTGTCCTCATGGGTAGAACGAGGATATTGGTGTCTACCTTACATGGTTCTCTTGAGATGCACCAGTTCTGTGTGTTTGTAACCGCACTATGGATGATCCTCAATGTAGGCAGAGCATCGATAATCATCCGAGGAGAGAAGGCAGCAACAGGGAATGTTGGGATCGCTCCATCCTCCAGGCACGTCCTCATCGGGGAGCCCTCAGCCACATACAACGGCACCGCCGTCATCAGGTATGGGCTTCACAGCTGCTCTTTGCCTTGGTAGGGGTTGTGAAGTTTTGTTCCAATAATCAGCTGTTTTATATCATTTGTAGTAAACACATGGTGTTCATACACGATTGTTGTGTGTGTTGGTAGCACCATGTGGACAGTAAAACTTTAGGCAGAGGTTGAACATATGTGAGTTGGATCACAAAGAGGCTGTGGGTGATTTGCCTGACCCACACCTGGAGAGTACGTGGAGTTGGGATCAGATCTGAGCTGTCAGCCGGTTCCATTCTATGTTAGCATGTGATGTAGGAGGAGACCTTAGCAGACCGTCAAGATCAGTTTGATTCTGAAGGGCTCCAGAATCACAGCCTTTCGTATAACTAAATTAGTACCATTGTAGGGAATTTCTTTCTCCAAAATTCACTCATGGAAAATGGGTACAGCAGCCATCAGTGAAGTAGCTAGATTTGACTCCATGTTGTTTTTTAAAATTATTATTTTTTTATGTATCTAAAAGGAATGCTTTATCCTTTCTGTTGCATGCACATGTACGAAGTATTTACTGCTCTTTGGATAGCTTTATGATACAGGCCAAGTGTGGTGGTTCACACCTGTTATACCAGCATTCTGGATGGCTGAGGCAGGAAGGTCCCAAGCTTAAGGCCAGCCTGGGCAACTTAACAACTTAGAGGAACTTGTCCTCAAATAAAGGAAAGAAGGAAGGGAAGAAGGGAGGGAGGAAAGAAGGAAGGGAGGAAGGGAGGAAGGGAGGGAGATGCTGCAGAGGCTCCAGGTTCAATCTTCAGTACAGCAAAAAACCATAAAGCAATGAAAAACCTTTGTTAAGCTACTCATATTTTATTTTTTGTATATCAGTAAAAATGTATAAATATTTCTTCTTATTTCTTTAAACCTGTTTTTGGTGTTCAGCTATTGCAAGTATTCCTGTCAAGATGGATTTACTAGCTCGGTATCTTGGGTGCTACTATCTTGGAATTCTAAGGTTTTCTTTTAATATATAGATGATAGATGAGTTTATTTAAAAGCATAATGTTCATGAAATAAAATTGCTTATGGTTGGAAGACACAGCAAATGTGTATTTAGGAAAAATACCACCAATAAAGCTGTACTCAGTGGACACTTGCATCTTGTTGTAGCCTTGTCCGAGGCCCTTCGATCTCAGGGGAGGTGACAGTGTGGTGGAGAATCTTCCCTCCTTCCCTGGAGAAGTTTGCCGAAGCCTCAGGGAAGCTAACCATGCAGGATGGACAGTCGGCGGCCATCGTGGTCATACAGGTGTGGTGCCGCTGGCTTCTGTGACACCCTGGCTCTTGTGCATTCGTGTATGTGTGTGTGGTTGGGATGACTTGTAGAGAGGAGATTAATGTTGCAGAGTCTGTCGCATTCATTCATGTGACAGATCCTTTCCTTTACATCTTCCGATTCTACTGCTGATGGCTCTGTCCTTCTGTAGGCCCTGAATGACAACATCCCTGAGGAGAAGCGTTTCTATGAGTTCCAGCTCACAGATATCAGTGAGGGTGCAGGGCTGAGCCCCTCCAGCCACACTGCCAACATCACCATGGTGGCCAGCGACGCCCCCTATGGCCACTTCGCCTTTTCCCAGGAGCAACTCCAGGTGTCAGAGGAAGTGCAGAGGGTATGGTGGGAAGTGCTTCAAGTCTTAGTGTCAGTTTTGCTTTTCATATTGTGGTGGTGTATTGAAAGTGCTTTTCCCTGTTAGTATCTTAACTGTTCTCATATGCCGGGCGTGGTGGTGCACACCTGTAATCCTAGCTTTCAGGAGGCTGAGGCAGAAGGATGGCTGTGAGTTCAAGGCCAGTCTGAGCTACATAGTAAAACCCTGTGCCAAAAGACAAAAAAAAAAACCTTTTTAATATAAACCTTTGGTGAAGATTTACTTGCTTCCAGCATCACTATTTTAATATGTAATTTATTTAATTTGTTCACTGATGTTTCGTTTCCATGTAATCTTTGTAAGCGCAGTGTCTGTCCGGGGTAACACTGTCTGCCCTTTGCACAGGTTAATGTCACAGTTGTCCGGGCAGGCGGCTACTTCGGCCTCGTGAGGCTGTGGTTCGAGACTGTGGGTGGCACAGCGGACGCAGGCGTGGATTTTGTCCCTGTGGCCGGGCAGCTCCTTTTCCAGGCGGGAGAGATGGCTCGAGGTCTGCAGGTTGAAATCCTTGATGATGACCATCCTGAAGGCCCTGAGGACTTTTCTCTAGTGATTATGAAGGTGGAGCTCCAGGGAAGGTAAAGATGAAACGAGGGAGAGGGGGGGAGGGGGAAGAGCAACAGCTGCGAACATGGAGGTTCCACTCAGCTGCGGAATCGCTTTCTTCCTCTGCCCTCTGTCCGCCCGTGCGACATTAAAGCCAGGCTCAGAAGGGAAATTAGGACTGATTATTACTTTTTGCAGTTTTTTGAATTATAATTTTCTCCCGCAACGGGAAGTGTGTGGTCATGTTTTGTGCATTCATTCAGGGCAGCTAGGGAATTGCACACGGCATGGGTGCTAGCAATTTGGTGAGGAAATAGGCTAACTGTTCTTCAGTTGGAGGACAGCGGGGCTGCAGAATTGCTACCCCTGCTTTTGTGCCGGTGGAAAGTCCCCAGCGCGGGCGTCCTTCACTGGGGCGTCTGAAGGCTCTGTTGTCTCCTCTGTGGAGAAATGAGGTAGATCCTTGCCAACTGTAATTTCAAAGTGGGAAAAACTTAAACTCAAACATAACTGGCTATTAACATGCCCATGGTTTCAGTAAAGATCAAAAATAAGCATAACGCCTCTGGGCATGGCACGGCCAGCTCCTCAGGAGGCCAGAGCAGGAAGATCTCAACTTTGAGGGCAGCCTGGGCAATTTAGTGAGACGCTATCTTAAGAATGGGGCGGTGGTAGTAAAGTGCTTTCCTAGCGTGTGTGAGGACCTGGGTTCAATCCTCAGTACTGAAAAAGGAAGGAAAGACGAAAGGAAGGGAGGGAGGGAGTTAAATTTACCATGTGAACCACAGCGAGTCTCCTTCACTCCCTGCCTAGTGGGGCAGACTGGACTGCAGGGTGCGAGCCCTAGTGCACTTATACCCCGAGTTAGCCCAGTGCACCAACTGATCGGCTGCGAGGCTCACAGGACCTGAGAAGAGGGGTCCTTCCACCACGATACGTTTGCACTCCTAGAAATCTGAAAGAAATGTTTCTTGTGCCTGAAAATAGTTTTGAATTTGTTATACAAATATTATGCCATAAATTTATTTATAACAAACATCTCCTCAAGTGGTGTAGTTAGAGTATATGGCATCCCAGCTGAGAAGGAAATATTTTGGGTTCACATGTACTTCAGATCTTGGATTTCCCAGATTCATTTCTGTATCTGGCAATGGGATTGAATTTCTGCTCATATGAAATATATTAAAATTCAAACTGGACACTCACTGTTTTAATTAAATGCATGTAATTTGGTACAAGTAGAGCATGAAGTGTGAGATTGTGTTTGTGTTATTAACTTGAACTTTTTTGCCTTTCTGGTTATACTTTTAAAAAAGCACTTTCTGGGCCTGGGGATTTAGTTCTGTGGTTCCGCCCCTGCCTCGCAAGCACAAAGGCCTGAGTTTGATCCCCCCACCCCACCCCACCCCCAGTACAAAGAAAAAGCACTTTCTAGTGAAATTTAATTCTGGGAAACACATTTTTCCTTCCAAACAGTTATTAGGCTCTCTTTGCTCTAAAAAAAGAAAGAAGTCCAACCCAGTGCTTACTTTTTTTGCCTACTTGTGAGAAAACTTACTGCACTGGTGTTCACTCCTGGTAACCAGCTAACTTCCTGTGCAGCCCTCCACAGAATCCTGGTGACCTCCTCTCACCATTTGATATGTAGTCCTCACTCTTCTAATCTTGCCTTACATATAATCTTATTCACCACCTTTCAACCTGTCAGGACGAGGTGGGGTATAAATACCAGGTAAATAGAATTTGGGGATCGAAAGAAAGACTAAAACCTCTTAGTATCATTTTTTAATTTCAAGAATTAAAGCAATGTACAGCCTTTAGAAGTAAAAACTTGTTTGATGGAAATAATACCAATGTCAAAATGTTTTTTGCTGAAATGTCATCACACAAACTATCCTCTATAGTAAAGAATAGCGGTATTGATTATAATTGTGTTTGGTGAATTTTGGTGATTTATCTTGAAATGTGATTAGTGGCAGGACACTTTATATATCTTTAATGTAATCCTATTGTCCTAACACTGTAAAACTCAAGTTTAGCTGGTTCATCATCGTTGAGTATACTGGGCCCAGTACTTTAGAACCAGCCACCAATAATTGGAAATAGCACAAAAATCTTTTTAAAAATATCATCTCTGAAAAAAAGAAAAGATTAACTTAGTGTTAAATCTTTAAAAGTGTCACTGTATTTAACAGAACTAAGGTATAGGAGCTAAAGCAAAGTTCATGCTAAGCAATTATGTTTTCATGTCATTTTATTTTGTTGTATTTTTAAATTTTTATTTCTTACAACTTTGCAAGAGGGTATGATTTTGCCATCCAAGGAAATGGACTGCAGATAGATCAACCTCCTGAAATAGGAAACATCTCCACTATTCAAATCATAATAATGAAAAATGATAACGCAGAGGGCATCATTGAATTTGACCCAAAGTATACGGCCTTCCAAGGTAGGTTGGATTAGCCTAGACACTTAGCATCCTATTCTGAATTGCACAGTATCTGCTCATGACCGTCAGCTTGAATCCCTATACTACATTTTCTTGGTTTGGCGTGCATGCGTGTGCGTATGTCCGTGTGTATACACATATATACCTTCATATATTTTCTGAATATATATTTTCACTTAACCTTTAGGTAGTCTTGAATTTATCTGTATATGCTAAAGCCAAATAGGAATGATTTAAAAAAATAGGAATGATTGAATCTAGAAAATTTTGTTTTGCTTTAAGACTATTAAAATATTTATGTTTTAAACATTTTCCTGAAACCTTGTCTATGTAATATTTACTTTCCTATATGATCATAAATTGGTGAATATTCACATTTTGGTGAACGATCACCTTTGAAATGAACATTTATTTCACTGGGCTGCAGATGGGGGTGGTGTGTGGTTCTCTGACCTTGCTTTCTTGGAACAGCTGCAGTAGCAGCTGGCCTGGCATTGCCAGTTCTCTCCTGGTAAAGCAAATCCCAAATGCATGGCTCTCTTCCTCCCTAGGTAGAAACAAATGGCTCCCTTTCTAGGAAATTAGTCTGTTCAAAGGCAGAACATAACTTTTTAAATAAACGTGTCACATTATTTGTGCAACTTATTGGCTTCATTGCCTCCATTAAAATTCTTCATCACCTAGCTATTTTTAAAGTTCATCAAAAATCACTTTAGAAGATTCACAGTGACTTCATGGGTCCATCATGGAAGACATTACTATTTTGTGAATTCACCCTCTAATAGTAAAAGTCATGTTTCATTTTTGCATTAAGAAGTACATAGGAATTTGGCTTGGTCCTCTGTCCATTGATTTATGGTTGATTCTGGTCGCTGAGGGAATTTTGGGTAGTGCATGTGTAAGTTCAGTTTTATTTAGCCATGGATAAGTGAATGGTGGTAAGTCCTATTTCAGTACACAGAGGTTGGCATAGTGCCATAAGAAATAAAGGTTCTTTTAAAAGAATTTTTAAATTGAAGTCAAACATAAGGATACATTTCATCCTCACAAGTAGATTTGATAGGACTTCAAAATAGTATAATTGTTTTTATATGTAAACTTTTGCAATATTTGTATGACATAAATAACAAAGTTCATTTATTTATGATATATTTCAACTAAATGTGCAGAAGAATCCAGAATGGCTTGTTTTTCCAAATTTTAAAATTTTTTCTGTTCATCTAATACTTTCCTAGAAAGCAAGTTATTTATTTGTATGTAGCACATAAAGAATGCCTGTGATAGCTGGGGACTTAGCTCAGTGGTTCTGCTGCCTGCCTTTCAAGTGCAAGGACCCGAGTTCAATCCCCGGTACACCCCCCCCAAAAGAATGCCTGTAATAATGACTAAATAGGTGTTGAAATTCTTTTACTAATCAGTATCTTTTCACCATTTAACAAACTATAGTCTTCCTTAAAATGTAAGAGCCATGAAAGTTACACTGGTAACTTTTCTGTAATGCTGGAGCTTGAACCAAGGGCCTTCACACCGAGCCTCCCCTCAGCCCCCCTCCACCCTTACTTTTGAGACAAGGTCTTACCAAGTCGCTGAGTGGCCCAGCTGGCCTCAAACTTGGAATGTTCCTTCTTCAGTCCCCTAGAGTGCTGGACACCACCACATCCAGCTGCACTGGTCACTGTTAAAGTGACAGATGAATTATGGAGAACTTGAATGTTTACGTTGTGCCATTCCATTTAATTGTCTCCTTTAATTGGGCTGAGTCTCATAAAAATGAGTTGCTTTGGCGCGCCAGTTCACTCCAAATCCCTGTCCCAGTGGAGGAGGACGTGGGCGCGGTCGCGATTCCCGTGGTGAGGCTCCGTGGGACCTACGGCCACGTGGCGGCTGACTTCGTGGCGCGGAGCCCCTCTGCTGTCCCCGGAGGCGTGGACCACATACTGCACAGCGCCTCGGTCGCCTTCCAGCACGGGCAGAACCTGAGCTTCATACTCGTCTCAGTGGCGGGTGGCGAGGGGAGGTCAGTACAGCTAGCGTGGGGCGGGAGTGCCAGGGAGACCGGTGAGACCCAAGGAGGCCCTGGCTTGGGCCCGGGAGGGGCGGGTCAGCTCTCACTGCTGGGTCTGGGACCGGAGACGTCCATCCGTCCACCTGCCCGGGCGCAGCGCGGGGAGGCCTTCGGGGAGGGGATCTCACCCGGCTCCTTCTCCGCAGCGGCTCCCAGGGCCCCCTGGAGGTCCTCCTCACCCGGGCTGCGGGCGGCGCGCTCCTTGGACGACACCTCGTGAGCAGGGTCACTGTCGCCCCGGGCGGCGCTCCCTTCGGCGTGGTGCGGTTCCTCAATCAGAGCAGCATCTCCCTTCTCAGCCCCGATTCCACGACGCTGCTCCCCTTGGCGCTCGAGCGGACCGGAGGGCTCCTGGGCGAGGTTCAGGTACAGCTCTAATTCCCGTGGTCTTCTGAATACATTTTGGCAGGCTGTGGCACGGTGTGGGGTTTGCTTATTCCCCGATACACTTAGTTATCTACCCACAGTCAGCAAATAGTATCTGTTCATTGTCTCACAAGTGCAAGGTAACTGACGTGTCTGGGAAGCACATAGAAGCGCACAGGGCACCCAGCTGTCCTCAGAACTCGAGAGCAAGTGAAAAATTGAGCAAACGATTCCTGTAAAATCAGTGAGACGAGCAAGGATTGATTCATCGTGTGATTTCTTTGTGCCTGGCCCTGTTCTAGGTAGTGGGCACGATGAACTATATGTGATTATGTTCTCAGTCTAAGCCTTTTTGGTTTTGTTTTTTGAGACAAGAGGTCTCACTACGTAGACCAGGCTGGCCTCGAACTCAGTGATCCCCCTGCCTCAGCCTCCCGAGTGTGGGATTACAGGCGTGCACCACCACGCCTGGCTCAGGCTGACTGCTCATTATCATAAAGAGTCGAACAGTAAACTCTTGAGGAAACTGATGGTAACAAAGACCTATTTATAAAACTGGGAGACATGAGCACGAGTGCCCTGCTGGCTACCTTTTTCTTTTTCCTTTGGTGGTTCTGGGGGTGGAACCCAGGCCTGGAGCGCGCCCAGGCGAGCTCCCCCACTCAGCTGCACCCTCACCCCTCCTGCCTGCTGTGTGCTGGAAGCCAGAGCGCGCGGAGAAGACGTGCGGGCGTCCGGGTGGAGGGGCGGTGCCCTTGTCCCGGCCCGTGGGTGCTCAGCTCCTGTGTAGCCCTAGGCGGCTGGAGTTTATTCCGAGAACAGGCGCTGCCTAGGAAGCGTGCAGCGGACCCCGTGTGATGCAGCTGGGGACCATGTGGGCCCGGCCTGGGCGGCGTGGGGCGGAGACTGGGCCGGTCCGGAGAAGTCCCTGGGCTGGGCGCAGAGGCTGGGCTCAGGAGCCCACGTTTCTAGTCGGGCAGCTGGCAGACGCCCTGCTGTTTTCTGGAGTCAGAAGCTTTCGGGAGGGAGGCCCCGGGGTTGTGCTTCGTGCGAATCCCAGACCCCACTGGCCACTGCTGCGGGCCCCACGAAGAGGAGCAGAGTTCTCAGTTGTAAACACGAGAACTGCTCCTTAGAACAACGCACAGTTTTCTTCATTTCGCAGCAGGTTTCGGTGTATTTAGAAAAGAATGCCCGCTCAGCTGAACGTCCACTCGTTTCTTTGTCTGGTTCCAGTATGTTTTGATTGGCACAATCTGTCAGCGCGGCAGGGCAGTGCTGTACTCATAACGTGTTACAAGTTTCTCTTTATATACGTGTCTCTAATATATATTTTGAGAAATATTTTTCTCCATTAAGTTTATTGGTACATTTTAAGTGTACAGTACAGTTACATTCATCATTGGGAATTGTACCTTTACATAATGCATCTTGGTTCTTATTTTTCCCCATTCCCTGCCCTCCACCCTTCCCTATTTGCAAAGACTTTGTTTCCATTTTTTCCTTTTCTCATATTTTTCCTTTCCCCTCTTTCCTTTCCCGTACACCTTCCTCTTCCCCTACTCCTTTGGACCTTTTCTTCCTGTTTCACATTATCAATTATGCATTTTAATTCTTATTTACACTTTTAATTTTTGAGAAATATATTTTTGCAGTCATGTGATTAAAAATGACAGGGTATTAATATTTTTCTTTTCCCTGTTAGACGGTTTTACCCATTAAAACTGATACTCTCTAGGTACATAGTTTATATTTGCAAAAGTAATTTTTAACAAAAATGCTTCGCTGCACATTCCCTAGAATAGTTTCTCATGTACATTTTCTAATATATGTCTATTGCAAGAACCCATTGCTTAAAACTGATCATCTGCATTAAAAGACAAAACCCCAAACCCCCTGCAGGTAGCCTGGGACATCGTGGGCCCCAACTCTGAAGAAGCCCTGTCACCGCTGAATGGGCGCATCGCCGACTCTGTGAGTGCCTGGTTCCTTCTATTTCGCAGAGGGAGAGGGCGGAGTGAGGACCCTCCTTCTGACCATCTGCCCTCATGGAGAGCCTGAGGTGGAGGAGACTTTCACAGTTAACCTGAAGCTTGTGAAAGGAGAAGCTAAACTGGACTCCAGAGCTAAAGCTGTTACATTAATAGTAAGTTTGACTTCATTTTTCTTACAAAATTTTGGGTTTATTCCATTTATCAGGAAATACTTTATTCCGTTATTTGAAACTGTACATGCTTATATTGAATTAAATATTATAAAATCATGGTAATTCCCCTGGGTCAAACCTTCCGATTTTTATGCTAGTTCATTACATTGCCTCATTAGTGGTAATATATTTTTAAAAATTCTAATGGAGTAACAAATACTTATTTTATAGTTTTTGAGATAATTTGGTGTTTGGAGAATATTTGAAAATTTTAGGGATGAGGTATTTGTTACATCATGTTAAATATTAGCTATCCTTGTCATAGTATATAAAAATTATTGACTAGCTATAACTGTTTGAACAAAAAATGGTGCATATTCATTTAGCTCAGTGCCTTGGTGTCTCAGCAGAGCCTGAATTACACATATTTCATATGAATCACTTGGCAGGAAGTGCTGGGAATCAAGGTGACTGAAAACAATGTATAGAGATGGCACATTTTTACCAGTTTTTTTTTTTAAGTTTGAAAAACAGTCTTGTTTGGGATCTGCATCAGAGATTTTCAGAGGAGAACCAATGGGATGAGCACCCGTGCGCACACACACATGTGTTCATGTGCACACATGGACATGCAAGGAGAGAGAGAGTGTTCAAAGAATGAGTTCAGGTGGTTGTGGGGAGGGGCCTGTCCAGTCTGTGGGACAGGCTGTCAGGCAAGAGGCCCAGGAAAGAGCTGGACTGTGATGGGGTAGCTGGTGGGCTGGAAACTGGGGGTCCCGAGGTCGGTGGAGGCAGAATCCCTTCTGGAGGAAAGTGGTTTTGCTCCTAAATCCTTCAGCTGAGTGGGAGAGACCCACCCACATACCTGAGCATAATCTCTTCTGTTTAGAAACAGCTGACCATAAATGTTAGTGTCCAAATCATTCCACAGCATTGTCTGGACCAGCGTTTGACCAAACAAGTGGGCATTGTCTCTTTGCCTGTTTGATGCAAAAAATTAACTTTTTACCTCTGTCTACTTTGTGCCATAGCTGGTTAGCTAAAATGTCCTGCTTAAATATAGAAAATATAAGCTGATTAAAGCAAAATTCAAGCAGCAAAGTATTATCTTTTTTGGGTTCTACAAATTGTAGTTTTCTGTATAGTCATTTCCATTATCTCTGGTGAATAAGATCTTATTAATTTTAGACAACAGGCTGGTTAAATGTTTTTAAAAATCCAGTAGCTAAGTAGATAATATTCAAGTGTCGTTTCCGTTTTTCATTCCCTCAGCTTATCTGCAGCCTAATGTGCAGATGCTGCAGTTATTTAGTGTATCATTTACTCTGTTCTCTGCAATGTCCTTCAGATACGAAAGCGTGGTGGTCCGAGTGGAGTTGTTTCTTTTGCCTCTGAGTCTACCTCTGTGAAGACCTATGTGGAGCCACTGGCTGCGGAAGGGCCTCTGCTCATCACTTTCTTTGTCAAAAGAGTCAAGGGCACTTTTGGAGAAATTACGGTATTATTTTATTTGACTTTTCTGAGTACCGATTTTTCTCACAAATGTGGTTGGGAGAAACTGCATGTTCCAACTTTCTTTATTTTTAACATATGTTATTAATACAGAGTGATGAGGTTTTGGTAAATTCATGCATGCATTTAACATATCTCAGTTTTTTCTACCCCATTACCTCTTTCTTTTCTCTTCTTCTGATCCCCTTCCTTGTCTCTAAAAGTGTACCTCCTACTTCCCTGTCATCTTTCTTTTAACTAATTAACTAATTAATGAATTAATTTGGTTTCTTACATAAAAGAAAATGTGATATTTAATATTCTGAGGCTGGCTTATTTCACCTAACACGATGGTCTCTGCTTCCATCCGTTTTCCTGCACGTGACATGATTTTGTTGTTCTTTGTGGCTGAATGATATTTTATTATGAGTATACACATTTTTTAATTAAAGTTTTGATACACTGATGCCGCTTGAGTTTAAAATAGAGAAACTGAGAGGCTTCATTTAAGTACCTTTGCTCTCCACCCTTCTTGAAACCCTAGTTACTATCTCTTTAATTTAAATTTGATTACAATTATTTGAAAAGACCTTCCTTAAGCTGAGTCATGAAAGAGTAATTGTTTTGTATTGTTTTGTTTTGTTTTGTTTTTGGTACCAGGGATCCAACTTGGGTCCTTGCGCTTGTGCAGCAGGCGGTGAAACCACTGAGCTAAATCCCTGGCCCTGTTTTGTATTTTATTGTTTGCTGTAACATGAAACCTCTTCAACCTGAGTCTTTCAATGATTTTCTTTTTAATTGCTTATTCTTCATGGCTTTATTTCCCAGCAGAATTTTCTCATTTAGTAACTGTTTTTAAGGGATTGCATTTGTGTGAATCTCGATATAGACGAAGATACTCTGGGACGTTCTCATGGTATTTGGTTAATAGATCAGAGTCATTTGCTTACTAGAAAAACATTTTGTGAAATTCCTCTATATACTTGTTTTAGAGATTAACAGATAATTCTTCCAATGAAACTTTATAGCTTGGAGGTCAACAATGCTTGGAAAATGATGACTAGTTCTTGATATTTTAAAGATATTCTCTCAGTTCTAATGTGACTCGCCAAGTTATCTGTTTACTTCTTAGCTAATGATATTGGGTATGGTTCACCAATGGATGTAGTTTTGGAGCTGACATCTTAACATTAACTTGCTTATATTTATCTCTTTAAATCATGTTACTGTTTTAGAATCAGGTGAAATAATAAGATTTTATAATCTTTTTGTGTATGTGGTGCTGAGGATTGAACACACTGCACAAGTGATCCACCACGTAGCTATGTCTCCATCTGAGATGCTATAATCTTGCCCTGAAAGTTGCATATGGCACCCCAAAGGGGTTATTAACATATACTTGGAGGGTTGGCTTTAAGTCTAATGATGAACAATTAAAATTTCTTTCTGTACATTATAGAGGAAAATATTTCAAGGTTTGTGATTCAGCATACCAAATTATATCATTCTGCTGAATTTTTTTTCCTTTGTAGGTTTACTGGGGATTGCGTAGTGAGTTTGATATCACTGGAGACTTTCTTTCCACAAATGGCTTTTTCACTATCGCCGAAGGAGAGAGTGACGCGAGCTTTGACATTCATTTGCTGCCCGATGATACCCCCGAGGTGGAGGAAACCTACGCTGTCCAGCTGCTTTCAGTAGAGGGTGGAGCGGACCTGGACCTGAACAGTAGCATCGCGTGGTTCTCTGTGTTGGCCAACGACAACCCGCATGGAGTATTTGCCCTGTATTCCGAGCACCAGTCCGTACTTGTTGGGCAGAACCTTATTCGGTCCATCCAAGTTAATGTAACCAGGCTTGCTGGAACCTTTGGAGATGTGGCTGTTAAATTTCAGATATTGTCTGAGCAGAAAGCACAGCCAGTTGTGACTGAAAATGTTGAGAGGCAGCTGGTGGTCGAAGACGGTGTGACGTGTAAAGTGGCTGCAGTGCCGATGAGGAGTCAGGTGTGTGGCGTTACTGCGATTTCCCACTTGTTCTGGTAGAGCCCTTCTGGGAGAGCCCTCGCTTGCCTTGTGATCAGTGTGAAGTCTTAGATACTTAAATGAAACCATGTAAAAAACCTTAGAAGAGACATAGCAACTTTTGGATAATACAACTGCAAATCACAAATGAATAAGGACATTCCTAAAGGGAGCTAGTACAAGTTTGTACTGTCCAGATGATAGCAGGAGCTCATTTCATACTTAGGAAGTGGGTAGTGCAGTGAGAGAGACGGATGCTCGGGGTGAGAGGCGACACATAGAGGCTGAGACCTGCTTTCCTCCTTGGCCATCTGGAACCCCGGAAGTTGGCTGTGATTGTCTGAGATGGTGCTGAGAGAGGGCAGCACAGTATATGGGACTGTTTGTGCCCAAATGCCAGCACGGGTGATGGGAAATACATCAGATGGTGTGGATGACACAGCGTGGGCCAAGGGAACACAAGGGCATACCAGAGAACAGGATCCATGCCTGAAAACGTTCCAGTTCCTTACAAATTCATCTAACCACTCTTCTCCAGTAGTGAAGTCAGCTTTTCCTCAAGTCTGCTATGGCTTACGTTCAGCTTTAATGCTGAATTCTTGCACTGCGGCATGGGCTGTAGCACCTCCCCCGGGGGGTCCTGGGTGGGCCCAAAGCAGCGAGCTCATTGGGAAGGCGTAAGGGACTGGGCGCTGGAAGACAAGACCTGGCCTCTTGTTCTTTAGAGTAGAAACTCACTAGCTGGGAAGCCAGTGACTGCATGAAGAAGGGGCACACTCTTACCTAGGAGGGTGGGATGCACACAATGGAAGTTCCGCTGCTGTGAGGTGATTCGCTAGCACTTGGACACAAATTTATGCGCAGTGAGTGTTGTTTGGAGTTAATGAAACTTCACTTACTCTCATATTACACAGTACATGGAGGCCCTGTGGTGTATGCCTTGTACTGTAGAGGATATCCTGTGTGTTTGTTCAGGGCTGGGGATGCAACTCGGTGGTAGAGCACTTGCTCAGCATATTAGAGGCTCTGGTTTGGTCCCCAGTACCATGATAAAAAGAAGGAAGAGGAAGAGGAGGAGAGGGAGCTGCTTCACAGAAATGGTTACATTCAGCAAAAGCATAGAAGTTTTAAGCATCTTCCCTGTAATGGGACAATCTGGGTGCTAACCATTACCAATAACAGTATTTCTACAGGAAAATGTGTTGTATGTTTTTAAAAAATTCTTTCAACATAGCACAAATCTGAAAGTTCAAGATTTTCCCTATTTTGTTAAATTCCAAAATTTTGAGCACAGGTAATGTAAGAGGTAGTGTTAGTAATTTTTATTTTTATAGCTCCAAAATATCCAAGTAATCAAGACCCCTAAGTCATTCTCCATCTTGAGTAATTGTTACGAGAGTTATTAGTTGTCGCTCAATGAAGAGGACTTGTGGGCTTTGCTGGCGTTTGGGAGCTGACACTGTTCACTAGTGCACTTTCTCCATTTTCTGACACGCGGTTCCCATGTGTATACTGCCCAGTTCCTGTCATTCTTCAGTCCACTGCAGCGCACATGCAAAATGTGCAGATTTTGTTTTCATACTCTACACCTAGTGCTGCTCGCCCCATACTCTCAATGCCAGTGTCTTGCTTTAAGACAGAGGTGTGGACATACAGGTGAAACTGCTCCCAAGGAGCACTACTGACAGTTGCAGAATTTAAGAGATCAAAGAAAGACAGGCGAAACAGGATTTATTTAGGTGTACACCAGCCCACTGGATTAGTATCCAGAGGCTGAGGCTGGAACAAAGAAGAGGCTCGAGTTTTGTTTATGTGGCCAAAGAGGTCAGTCTTCTTAGTGCCGTGAAACTGGTGGGTGGGCATGCGAGTTTCCAGAAGCAGGGAGAGGCAGTCGATCAGGTAGTGACAGTTTTGCAACTTAGCATATCTTGGTGGAAAAAACCAGGATTTTATAGAAGCAAGAGGTCATACAACCTCACTTACAGGAACAAAGTTAACAACAGCCATAGGGAGAAGGGAAATCTGATGGGGAACTGCTTGAGGCTAGGGATTCTTGTTTCTCCTCTTTTTTTTTACATTCTGCTTCACTGAGCCCAGTGTGCCAACAGCTCAGGGCAAAGGTCACTATTTTAGCCTGATTTTTTCTTACTCCTAAAAAAACCCACTGGCTTTTGTTTATAGGTCTTTCTGTCCCTGGGCTCCAATTTCACCGTGCAGCTGGTGACTGTGATGCTTGTCAGTGGACATTCCGACAGCAGGCCAACAATTCTCCAGGAAGCCAAGTCAGCTGTCTTTCCTGTCCCAGAGAACGCTGCCAATTCTCAGGTAACGGGCCCTCGGTGCAGTGCTCCCCACGCACCACTAGAGGGCAGCTTTCTCGGGAAGGACCAAATGCTTAGAGAATTTCTGAAGATTGTTTCCTTAAATCGACTTAGTCCTGTGAATATCAAGTACACATAATAGATAGATGATACAAAGATAATCTTTCAGTTTTCGGACATTATTTAGAAAGTATGTTTTCTTTTTAGAGTTTTAGAAAGTTTTTTTCTTGTAGAATTTGAGTGTTAGATACAGAAATTTTAAAATAGCAATTGCAGAAGGTCAAAACTTCCTTCCTTTGATATCAGTATTAGTATTGAGATATTTGTGTTCAATAATTGAAATTAGAACAAAACCCTAATGAACATCCCAGGCTTTTTCATTTACTAACAGTGTACGTGTTGGTCTTTACCACCCGGGCCTTGGTTTACTGTGGCCAGTTTGTCCTGGTGACAATAAATGTCTGTGGTCGCTCTATGACATGGTTGCCCAGGAGCATTTGAGTCCCCTGAGCTCATTGCATGAAAGATCATTTTGCAGTCACCTCATAAATTCAGAGGAGAACAGAGAGCAACCTGAGGGCTCGACCGTCCTTCAGGCCGATTCTGTTCATGTACAAAAGAGGGGGCCATTGGCTATGGCAACAGTGACATGCATGCATTTTTGTAGCTGTTGCAACATATAATTCCATCCTGTTCCTCCTGAGGGGAGCTCAAGTGGTGCGGGAAGGCCCGGCCCAAGATGCTGCCCTGGAGCCTGTGCAGGTGAGTGGCAGGGCTATGGGCAGGTGTGCTCTTTGGCCACTCCAGGAGGCTCTTCAGCTACTGTCCTTGGGCATCTTCTCCACTAAGCAGAGCGGGCTTCTACACACAGGTCTGTACGTGTGTGGCGAGCATAGCCTCCCCCGTAGCTTTGGGCAGCTGCTGAGCAGAGGCTGAACTGTGGTGGAGATCTAGCAGCACATTAAAGTCAAGTTGTCATTGTTTCCCCTCTGCAGCTCCAGAAGCTAATCTGTGATACCCCACCCTCACATGCTGTTCTCCATCCCAGTTCAGAAAGGCAAGCATGAGTCTCAACAGATGAGTGTTGGTCAACTTCTGTCCCAAATGTAAGGCTCTTCGGGCCACAAGAGGGAAGCAGAGCTGTCCACGCCTCTGTGTGAAGCCAGGAAGGTGGTTTGATTTAACCCACTGACCAGGACTTACTTCACCTGTAAGCCACACGTGCTGCCAAGACTGCCTTTAAAACAAGATCTTATTGGGTGTTCATGAAAATATGGGTATTTACAAAGTTTTTTAAGGTCCTGATTCTCAAAAATGATATCAAATTGAATCAAAGGGCTGAAAAATCTTAATAGAAAGTCTGGTCCATTGTGCTCATCTTAGAAATGAAACATATTGTTATATCTTAGAAATACATTACATTTCAGTTCAAGGAAAATCAAGTTCTAGAAAGACCCATGAACAATTCGTGTTAAAATGCCATTTTAAATCTTCTGCTTTCGCTTAACTGTGAATGCATTTTCTTTTTTGGATATCGTTCATTCAGAAGATTACTTTCAATAAAAAGAGGGAAAGAGAAAGAGTCATCAATCTGTAGAGTGTAACCAGAATTATAAAATAGAGCAGCTTTCCAAATCTGAGATGTCATTTCTTAAGCTTTTCTCTTTAACTGAAATATAAGGCAAGAATGTATTGTATAATGAAAGGGAAAGTTGACGGCAACCCACTCTTCAGAAACCAGGCGACGCTAGAGAGCATAGAACCCTCTAAGTGTGTGTTTCTTCAGGTTGGATTTGAATCCACTGCCGCGCGGCTCTTGGACGTGGCGTCTGGCTGGAGCCAGGTGACTGTCTGCAGGAGGGGCACCTATGGCGCGCTTGCGGTGGCCTGGACCACTGGCTACGCCCCCGCCCCCGGGTGGGAAACCCCCAAGGCCGTGCTCACTGGCAACATGACCCCTGCGCTGGGTGAGTGCAGCTTTCCCACGCCGGCCTGTGGGTCGCTCCACGCAGGCTGTCGGCCGTGTCTGGTCTCCCTTCCTCGGCAGCAGCCTGCTGGTTTCCAGTGTGCTGCTGCCCGTGGAGGTGGTCAGGGCTTCGAGGCTGCTCAGTACACAGGAGGACGGGGGCTCTCCTTCAGGCAATTAAAAACTGAGTGATCCTTAATACATGAGTGTGTTGAAAAGCAGTTCTGAAACCCTCCTTTGGCCAACACAGTAATAAGAAGGAGGTAGCTGAATCCCTTTACCTGTTCACCTGAGCACTTCTGCTGGCAGGCAGCTGTTACTTCATGTATTTTGTCACTTATGCAGTGAGTCTTCCGGGAGTTAGTGAGCTGCAGAGGGCCCCAGGGCCGCCTCCTGTCACGTGCGCTCTCTGCGGGTCCTGTGTGGCCCTGCTCAGGACCCTGGGTGGCTCAGAGCCTGTGCCTCTGGCTTTCCTTCCCCGCGTCCTGCTGGTTCCCAGGAAAACACCATCCCCAGCAGTCAGGGACTCGGTGAATCCTGCTGGAGGGCAAGCCCATCTCTCAATGAGGAACGAAGGTTTTAACGTCCCCAGGTCTCAGCGAGCCAAGAAACTGCACAAAACACGGAAGTCCGTGAGAAGACGCGAGCGAGCGGTCAGGAAGGCGGCACTGACCGCACTGTCCCCCACCCAGCAGGCCTCCCAGAATAAGATGAATCTAAACGCCTGGTGGAGACCCACAGCCATAGGGTACTCGGGACCGGGAACCCCTGAAAGCATTTTCCTTTGGGCACATGGTCTAAATTCAAGACACCTCGTTATTTTTCGTACCTTTTCCTGCAGTGACACCTCCTTGTCACTCCCTTTTTCTGTTGCTCTGGGTGATATACACAGCTTCCTGTAACTTAGGGCTTTTTTTTGGTACCAGGGATCAAACTCAGGACCTTGCGCTTGCGAGGCAGACAGCGGAACCACTGAGCTAAATCCCTGGCCTATCTTAGGGCTTTTTAAAAGCTTTTTTTGTATTAGTAACTACTTACAATTTATGTGTAAGAACATTGTTCTTTGTACAAGTGTGTGTGATACCATGCTTAAATCTGACAATGATCTTGAGATGTTTTAATGAACTTAAATAACTTGATTAAGCTAAAATAACCAGAGTTCCCAAACAATAGATCTCTATCTTCAAAAGGGTTTAGTTAGCTTTTAAGATTTTAAATGAATTTTTAAACATAATGAAAAAACACACTAAACACCATTATCTCACTGACTAGATTTAACAGTTGTTATATTCCATTATTTGTGCATTTTCCCAGGAGTTAGCAAAACTAAAATGCATACATTATGATATTTCACGCCATATTACGTCAGTATTTCTAGGAATACGATGGAGCCAGAGTTCAACCAAAGCCCAGCACCAAACACAAATAAATCAACGCTTGGCAGCATTGTTCTCCTTTTCCCACTGGATTTGCTAGTTGAGCCAGGAAAGAAAAAGAAATAAACAGGAAGAGTAGACAGGAACCAGAGGAAGGTTTATGTGGCCTTGGGGCTTTCTGAAAATGTTTTCTATATTTTGTTGGGTGTAACCAAATTTTGGAAAAGCAATGAGTTGACCACACATTTGAGACTCAGGTTTCTATTTAAGAACCTAGACGTGATGTGCTCCTTTCTCTGCACGTTTGCCCCAGGGAGCCTCTCCTTTTCCCACGGTGAAGCGAGGAAGCCCGTGTCACTGCGGACCTTTCCCAGCCCCGGCCAGGCAGAGGCCTTTGCCATCCACCTGTCTGGAGTGCAGAGCAGTGCCCCTGGAGGCGCTCGGCTTCGGTAAGGCCAGCCTGCCTCAGCCTACGTCCAGTGCCTGTCACAGCACACGCATGGATCACCATCCCCGAAGCAGAGGAACCGTGTTCATGTAGCGCACCCTGGGGCTGCGTGAAGGGAGGGAGGGAGGGGACATCTCACCCTCTGCTGGGCCCGTGTGCCTGGGTCACACTGTCCACACACACCTGCTGGTGAACTCACCTGTCTTTTGGGAAGCAGCTGAAACACTCGATTTCCCCCAGAGATGAGTAAGAATAAAGCATCACATGGTGTAGCAGTGTGACTTAATTGAAATCAGTGACTGCTTTGAGTTTAATTTTATTTAATTTGCTGTTTGTCAGTAAGGACTCTGGAGCCTAGCCTACTTGCAGTTCAGTGTGTCCCAGCCGGAAGCAGTTTGTTTTTCTCATACCCAAGATGCCCTGGACCAGAACTGCAGAGAGCAGACTGAGAGCCACACTATGGATTCAGTCCTGGCTGTGCCTCTCATCATGTGACCTTGGGAAAGTTACCTGGTCTTTCTGGGCTTAATTTTACTTATTTTTAAAAATAGGAAAATATGTGGGCAAGACTAGTGTGTATTCAAGTACCTCTGTGTGCATGTTTACCGAGGCACGTGATCCATTGGTGGAATCAAACATGGCTTTAGGATACACATTATTCGTGTGCCATTTAAAAAATAATTGTCTGGGAGCATATGTCAAGGTCAAAAATTCAAATGCCATTGACAACATTTTACAGTGCTTATCCAAAGAAGGCATTGTTTGAAGTTCTTTATATACAAACTCCCACATAAATGCACAAACACACACATATACTCTACTCCTCCCAGCAGCAGCTGTCTAAGGTGGGCACTATTACTCACTCCATTGGCTTGATGAGGAAAGCGATTTCTAGATCGTGCAGTGAGCCTGGCACCGCACGTCTCAGTGTCGGGGCCATAACCTGCAGCCACACTGTCTGGCCACTGTCTGGGCATTGCACCATTGCTTGTGTCCTGCATGACAGCTGCTTGACAATAATGATGGGACCTGCCGTGTCCTCCTTGATTTGTATGAGCATTCTTTTCATATTAAAAACCACCTATTAACAAAGAAAACGTCTGTGGTCTGAATCAGGCTGATGGACCACCAACTGCAACTTCAGATATAATTATTCACTCACAATAAAAATCTGTAGGGCTACATTTTTTCAATGATGAATGTTCTAATGTATTTAAAGCTTTAGGTTTACATATATGTTTATGAGAGATCAGTCCACTACTGACACTGGGAGAAGTAAGAACTCTGCTCCTAGCACCAGTAAATAGTCCCATGTGGTAGATAAGAGAGCATCCAAGCATCCTTGCGTAATGATCCTAGAGAGAGCCTGAGGCCTCAGATCCCTCAGGCAGCCGGACTAGATCACTGGGGACAGGGAGCTCAGCTCCTCGTTCTGCTGGTCATCCTTAGTCCCTGTCTCTGCTGCAGCTTCTGTCTGGGCCCTTCTCTTACTCGTCAATAAGTAGGATTTGATGGAATCGGAAAGGTCATGCCATTTCTAAGATACTTCCCTCATGAGCAACATCTTAAATATATAAAAGAACCCTTTTCTTAAGCATCATGGTTTAATTTTTTTCAGACCAGGGTTTACTGTTGCTGAAATTGAACCGATGGGAATCTTCCAATTCTCCCCTAGTTCAAGAAATATCACAGTGTCAGAGGATGCGCGGCTGGTCAGACTGCAGCTGCAGAGGCTATATGGGTTCCACGGGGACCTTGTTAAGGTCTCCTACGAGACAGTCGCAGGAAGCGCCAAGCCGATGGAAGACTTTGAGCTGATTCAGAGCGGGGAAGTGTTCTTTCACAAATTCCAAACTGAGGTTGATTTTGAGATAGCCATTATTAATGATCAGATTCCTGAGAAGGAAGAAATTTTTTACATTAATCTCACTTCCATAGACACAGGGGGACTAGAAAAGTTGGATGTCAATTGGAGACCACGCCTGAACCTCCATCTTGGTGTGGCAGTGATCACAGTATTGGATGATGATCACCCAGCAGGCATGGAGGTTTCTGTCCCCATGACAGCTGTGGCTGTGGCAGTTGGCACCCCGCTCATCCCTCCAGACACAGACTCCACCACACACCCTGGTACAGGCAGGACCACTGCCATTCCACAGGCAGCTGAGACGCTGGCCACTGTTCCTGAAGCAACTGGTATACCTGCCACCCCGGAGAAACCTGTCACCCACCACAGGCCATCCACCATGCCTGAGAAGCCTGACGAGGCCAATGTTTCTGACCATGGAACTTTTAGTCTCGGCCCCGCCGTTATTTATGTGGAAGAGGAGATGAAGAACGGCACACTCAGTACTGCAGAAATTCTCATCCGAAGAACGGGTGGATTTGCCGGAAATGTCAGCGTGACAGTTAGAACCTTTGGAGAAAGATGTGCTCAGAAGGAACCAAATGCATTGCCCTTTCCGGACACCTATGGGGTCACCAACCTAAGCTGGGCAGCGGAAGGGCAAGACTTCGAGGAGCAAATGCTGAGCCTTACATTTCTCCATGGAGAAAGAGAACACCGAGTGTCAGTTCCGACTGTGGATGACGAGGAGCCCGAGGGCCAGAAGTTCTTCTATGTGTTTCTCACAGACCCTCAAGGGGGAGCCCAGATCGTGAAGGGAGAGGACGACGCTGGATTCACAGCTTTTGCTGTCGTTATTATTACAGGTATCTTTGAATGAGGGAGGCAGAATATGTACTTTTGCAGTACAGACTTTGTAATAAGATCAAACTACCTTCAGTGTAAGAGGGTGAATTACTTGAGTCACTCATAGTCATTCATTAAAACATTTTGTCCCCACAGCATGGGAAATGTCGCTGTTTTCATCTGCCTTGATGTTGCATGTTTTAAGTCAGTAAAGATCCTTACTTGCGTGCGAGTGCCTCGCTCTGTGCTCTCTGGGGCGGCGAGATTGTGGGGCACCGATGTCTGACATTCTTCCTGTGTGACCATCCCTGCTTTGCCTTTCAGGCAGTGATCTGCACAATGGCATCCTGGGATTCAGCGAGGACTCCCAGAGTGGGATGGAGCTGGGGGCAGGCGCTGAGGAGAGGAGACTGAGACTTGTGGTCACAAGGCAGCCAAACAGGTGTGCGTGCGTGCGTGCCTGCCTGTGTGCCTGCGTGTGCACCCACGGGTGTGCGTGGTGTGGCAGCCTGGCTCTCTGTGCCGTACTGAATTGAGGTTTGTGCAGGTGTAGATGCTGAGGGGCGCGGGGTGGGGCTGCTGTGTCAGACCCCACCGGTGCACCGGTCCTGGCTCATAAGTGGTGCTGCCAGGAATGTTCACACTTCAGAGAGCGCCGTGCAGATGCCAGGTTACCCAGGTCCTCACATCATGCTATTTATTGTGCTGTTTTTAGCAGCACATGTTTGCAGGACATAGTGATTACAGTTGTCGTGGGGAGTTGGTACAGGGACATGACATGTCTTAATTATTCCTCTTTTCTGCTTTTCATCCCTCACCCCTTCCTCCCTGCTCCTTGCAACAGTTGGTCCCCTTCCCATTTGCAGAAGTTCTGCCTTCATCATTTTCCCTGCAGTTCCTTTTTTTCTATACCTTTTCCTTCCTCTCTCCTTCTTCCTCCCTTCATCTCATTTCCCCAGCCATTTGAAAAAGATTTCCCTACTTCCTGTTATCTATCTTTTATTTTGCACCTTACTTGTATTTTGGCTTCTTCATGTAAGGGAAAGCATGTGATATTTAAGCTTGTGTATCTGACCTGTTATTTCACTTAATACTGTCATCTCAAGTTGCATCCATTTACCTACAAATGCCTCAAGTTTATCCTTCTTTATGGCACAGTAGTACTCCATTATGTGTAAATACACATTATCTTTATCCGTTTATCTGTTGATGGACATATAGGCCATTCCTGAGATTTAGCTGTCATAAATATTGCTGCTATAAACATGGGTATGCATCACGGTGGTTGGATGTCTTTAACATACTATTCTCTGATAACTTCAAATACATAACCATTTTACTCTGAGGGAGACCTGGGTACCAAAACTTTACTTACAAATTAACTATATAGACACATGTTTGAATGCTCATCATGAACATGTACTTAGTATGCACACATGCATGTGTTTATACGTTATATTTCCTCCTAAATATTTTGTGAAAATGTAAATCATCTTTTGCACTTTATTTTTACAATGACAATCATACATTAGCTGTAATGCTCTTCCTTTAGAGAAAATGGTGTTAAAAGACAAATGAGAAACATTTACTCAAAGTGAGGGCTTCTCTCTAATTTTTGTTTTCACATTTCTGGTGTATGAGGGCAGAGAAATATCATTTGTTTTCACATTCCTGACCTCGAGTGTTTCCACAAATGCCCATTCACTGCTGAAGAGAGTGCAGTCAGAGAACTGTGTGGACCAGAGCCTTAGTTTTCCTGTCTGGTATGAGCAGAGCTGGCCATCTTCAGGATGGTCAGTGGCAGAGCAAGTGCTGCTGTGGACAAGGAGGCAGAGTTCTGCTCGGTGACCGCCCATGCTGCCTGACCCTGGGTGTCTGTCATACTCCGTCACTGTGTTCATGTGGGTTTGCTTCTTCCCAGGGCCTTTGAAGATGTCCAGGTCCATTGGCGAGTCTCGCTGAACAAGTCAGCCGTCATTCTCCAGAAGGAAGGCTTAGACCTGCGGGATGAACTTCTGTCCGTCTCAGGGACCACGACCTGCATGGCGGGCCGAGTACAATGCCTCATCAGCCTGGAGCTCAAACCAGAGGAGGTAAGAAAGTCTGAGGTGCAACACATGTGACTCTTTAGAATTAGTCATTTGGAAGCCACATCCACATTGTTTATGTGGAGTTGCCTTATGGTTACCTAGCCATGATGTCTCAATCTATGTGCTGGAAGACGGCATACGGGATTCGCACCTGTCACTGGAGTACAGACGTGTGCTCTTCCGATCTGCCTTATGGTTACCTAGCCATGATGTCTCAATCTATGTGCTGGACCACAGACTTTAGACTTAGGCTATATTACATGAGGAATCTTTGTAAATGAGCTCATCCCTTTTTTCTTGTTTCTTGTTTCAATATTCCCCCTGGTCTAGCTACTCAGCATGTCCATGATCCCTTGAGTTTTCAGCCACAGTATTGTCTTGAGTTTCTCTGAATGTTCAGCAGTTTGCTTTTATCATATAAATATACATGAAAGGTCTTTCATTCTCTTTTTATACATATTTAAGGAGCTCAGTTTCAGTTTACCAGGGAGTCACAGAGATTGATCTTGGAGAGTGTGTTGGTTACTTTTCTTGTTGCTGAGACAAAATACCTGACACCCAAAGTTAAAGGAGGAAAGGTTTATTTGGCTCACAGTTCATAGAGGTTTCAGTGTATAGCTGGCTGGCTCCAAGGCAGGGCAGCATGGCAGAGGGGCGTCGCAGAGGAGAAATAGTTCATGGCAGGCAGAAGGCAGAGGGCAGCAACCTACAAGGGACAAGCCTCTTTCTGTGCCTTATGTCCTATCCAGGCTACCCACCCTTACGATGGGTAGCACTCACACCCTTAATCCTAGGGTTGCATCCTTGGTCCCAGCATCACACACCCTAGATCCAGTCACTTCCAAAAAGCCCCATCTGTGACTGCCTGAGGCTTTAGGGGAGACCTAGACACAAGCCGTAACAGAGAGTCTGGATGAATTTCTGTTGGCCGCCATCACATGTGGTGCTAAGAGTCAGGCTTATCATGTAACAGCCATTTTTAAATGATTGTTTTGTGATTCTTTAATGCCTAAGGAGCACTCAGTAGCATTTATTCTTTGTCTGTTACTTATTTATTAAATTCAACACAAAAACTAGCCATCAGATTGTGAAGTTCAAGAGTGTGATAATTCTTCATATATGCTGCACATTCTACACAGCAGAGAAAGCACATGCAGAAACACTTCAAACATGTAACTGTACCTAAGTCTCCTTTAAAATAACAGTCCCGTGAGTTTGATTTTTTTTGATATTTTTCTACTTGCTTCTTCACTTTTTGAGAGTTACTATAATAGTTATATTCATCTTTTCTAAGATTCATTAAT